TGGTGCGCTTAGGCAAAATCGTGGCGTCAGAGTCACACTCGACGGAGCTCCCTTCAGTTCGAGTCGCCACCGAGTGAAGACGTTGTCACGGAACTGCCCTACGCTTCGCTTAGTGCCCAGTTACTGTACCTTGTGATTATACGAAACTCGGTGATGAATTCTAAACGCTTTTCCTATTTATACGATACTAATATGCGCCCACATTATGTCTCAGCAATCGGAACATAATCATGCCTCTTCCGACATATTATTATATAATAATGTTATTTTTATGCCTATAACATTGAATATGCAAATAAAAATTGGCATCAAAAGTATTAGAACGCTACGAAATATATCATTATTTTTCAATTCTTGTCCTTTTTATTTCTTTTCTTGATTCCTTCCACGCATCAGCAATTGGTAAAACTCTATAAAAAGTAGAAAATTATACTAAATACAGTGCTTACTTTCACTGACAAATCTCCTCCAATAGTTATCCATGACCATTCTACCTACAATCGTCACGACAAAACATCGACACGACATACCGACATCACTACAGAACTCTGAAAGTGACGGTACAGTTGTTAACAAAACTAATTGGTTTCGATCATATTTCTGATTGATATTATGTGTTGGTTAACAAAGCTTGATGTATGGAAGTTATTTAATGGTTCGGCAAATTGATTTATTACGCACAGGTATGACGCAGTTGGTGTCAGTTAACGTTGTAATGTAAATAGATAGGTAGATAGGTATATACATATGTTGTTTTTGATGGATTGGACGGAATAGTAAGTAAATGTAATGAAAATATATTAACACAAATTTTGGTCGCTGAAAGGGCAGGTAGAGACGCTATTGCACAGTGTAACATCAACTTTTTACCAGGATTTACAAAAGTGTGTTGGAAGTCCAGAGTCCTATAGTGGTGATGCAATATCAACACGGGTCACAAATCTCGATGAAACCCAATCAAACTTTGCCCCACCTGGAAATCGAAAGCTCTCGCTCGATAGCCACACTACAGTGACCACTTATCACATCAATAAGGCACTAACTACATACGTACATGAGTAAGTATTACATTACATCTTCAACTTTATAACATAAGGTCGAAAATCCAACGAATAAATTTGACAGATTGGAGTGGGTCGGTCTGCTGACCATATTACAAAACAATACTAGACAATGAAGACACGTGCCAAGCGCAAAATATAACTGATTATCTAACTAAGTGACCTATCACGATCTGCTACACAAATGAAATGTTACTCCGTGGGCGGCATGTAAGTTCATTCGCTCCAAGACTGGTAAACATTGAAATAATAATTTGTTTGTATTGAAGTATTTCTTGATAAAAGTGGTAATCATAAGGTAATCGAATTTTGCGTGTTTTTACCGTACTAGTAAACATAACATCACGCCTTTTATCCCCGAAGGGGTAGGCAGAGGCGCACACAGAAGTAACACTCACTTTTTAACCGACTTCAAAAAAAGAAGGAAGTTCTCAATTCGACCGTATATATGCTTTTTTTTCACTAATTATGTTATGAGTCCCATCTAATACTGTACTAGTATTGCCATAATATGACTTTCACTGTTTTACTTATTATGTTTTACTAACATTTGTCGAATACGCGATATGGCGCCTTCACGACACAACTTACTAACAAGTATGAGAAGTGTAAAAGTGTGGGAGAGCCATGCTTCGGCACGAATAGGCCGGCTCGACCGGAGCGATACCACGGCCTCACAGAAAACCGACGTGAAGCAACGCTTGCGTTGTGTTTCGTCGTGTGAGCGAGGTTACCGGAGGCCCAATTACTCTCTCCTTCCCCAATCCCTGAATCCCCAACGATCCTCAAACTCCTAATCCCCAAAAGGCAGGTAACGCACTTGTAACGCCTCTGGTGTTCCAGGTGTCCATGGGCGACGCCGATTGCTTACCATCAGGTGATCTGTCTGCTCGTTTACCGGCTTACGCCATAAAAATAAAACAAAAAACATGCCATTTAAAGCCACACTTATTAATTTATGTAGTACAATCAATACTCTCTTAAGAGAACAGAACAGTAATTTTATTTCTGTGAACATGTCGTCTTCGTTGACAACTGCACACAACAAACACATTTCAGTGTACGGGCTACTATAATATAAATAAAGGGTTGTTTTATTAAATATAAGGTTTATGTGAGTTTAATATAACTCATGACAATTCACTACTCAACTATATTCACCAGATATGGTAATAGTATGTGTAAGTCGCATATAATAGAAGGGAAACCTGATGCCATACACTGCAATCAATATTACACACTGTGTTTTTGATGAAAATCCTTGCATTGCAAAAAAATCGATCTTAATATCGAGTAGTTAACACAATTTCGATTCAATTCACGATTTCCATCCATTCATCCGTTACGTTTGTATATACATACATAACATCACGCCTTTTATCCCCGAAGGGGTAGGCACAGGCGCACACAGAAGTAACACCCATTTTTCACTATGTATGTTATGAGTCCCATGTAATAGGGGGTGAGCCTATTGCCATACGGCCTATTGCTACTACTGAGATTTTTTTTAAAAAACCCAGTAATACTTTGCTCGACCCGGGAATCGAACCCGAGACCCCTTGCCCGGCAGCCGCACTTGCGACCACTCGGCCAACGAGGCAGTCTATAATATTATTTATATGATTTAGTGACAGACCCAAAAAGTAATTGTTTCACGTAAAACACCAAGTTTCAACCTGAAACCTAATCTGATTTAGATAAAGTGCTGATCCCAACTTTGTTGGTAAAAAAGAAATATTCCACCTAACTCTTACGTAAAGAATGGAACATCTTGTGGAAAATAAGGTTAAAAATACTTATTTATATGTATTTATAGCAAGCGATTTTATATAGAACTTCGAACTTCTTAATCCCCAAAGGACTATGCCGAGGTCAATACACATCAACAGCCTATAAGTAGTCACTGCTGACCAAAGGCACGAAGGAGGTTTAAGCATTAATCATTATGCTTGCACAATGCGGGTTGGCGATTTCAAACTTATAATTAGAAATTATGAGCCCAGGTTTCCTCATGATGTTTTCCTTCACCGTTTGTCAATGGCGTCTAAAAAATCTTAAGAGGTGCCTTATTATAATTAAACTTTCACTTTTATTAGTCGTGTTATGTATGTCATTCTAGACAATAAACCTATTACTATAATACACTAAGTATCAATCACAGACTTCGTTGAATTACTGAGAAAAATCGGAACAATAAATACATTGTTGGATTAGGGAATTGAATCCAGCAGGAATTCCGTACTTGGTAGTCGCTTACGCTTTCTTACGCTATAGCAAAAAAACTTTCTTAAAATATATTTTTTCCTAACAATAAACGTACCAAAAACACACTTCAGTTATAACACTTTCATAAAAACATAGATAGGTGTTTACATACTAAAGGTTTTCAATATCAGTATACTGCTGACGAAGCCTCAAGGCGGTAGTACCACAGATAACACACAGGAGGACTTTTCCCCACATCGATCGGCTTTTATGGCGCCCATAGGAAATAAAGGGGGTGTTCACAGAAACTGTTGTTGGAATCACACATTTTAATACTTATTTCACTTTTTTTTCATAGGACTGTTAGGTTGGGATTGATTTTTAGTAAGTTGTATTTTTCAGTGATTGTGGTCGAGTTAGTGAGTTATATTGGGATTTGTAACGTAATTGGGATTCGTGATTTAAATGGCAAATAGTGGGTATAATGTAACTATAACTCTACGATATTACATTGACGTAATATTTATTTTAAAGCTTTACATAGAGAGGAGTGGAAGGAGGGTTGGGAGGCCATAGCCCTGCACTGGAACGATCATGGCTGAAAAAAAAAATATTGGGAATCTATTATTCAAAATTCCAATGTTTTCGTGGTTAATAATTTCTCTAAAATTTCAGAAGAAGCGTTTATTGACCATCAGGTTCGTCACCAATGGGGGTAGGCAGAGACAATGGAATGTCACATGACAGTACCTATGATGTGCAAAACTAAAACGATTGTGAAAAACCGAAACAAAATGATCTAGTATTCAAATCAAGCGTGTAAGTTGATGTTGAAAACAATTGGCTTTTATATTACAATCTTAAGCATTCTATCACGTATCCCATTTCACAGTTACAAGCGAAGAATTATCGAAATTCCCGCTTCGGCCAATTTCGGAAGTTGTCGGGAAACTTCGTATTAACATTAAGGAGGCGACATTCGACATCTAATATATGATTGTCAATTACATTCCTCGGAGACCGCTTTTATTGAACAAAGAACTATCCCAAACCGGGAACTCCAAAACTTCCCTTATTACGGAAAAGCACTACGACTTTCAATATTAAAAACATTAAATATTAATGGACACTGTAGACCTTAATAACAATGGCAAAGAGTCCTATTTACGTAAAACTATTGACGCAGAGGTTACGATTGTTACAAATAAAAGTTACTGCCGTTTTCTTTTGTGTTTTTATTCGATATTCGCACCGCAACCATGTCTATGGGCGAACAAAACAATTTTTTGTATAATATTTTTTCCCTTACTGTTATTTTTTGTAAAAAGATCACTTTATTAAATTAATTTTCGCTTATTTTCTTGTTAAGGGAAACCTTGAGATCAAAATCTGCGCCCACCAAAAGAGCCCTCATAGAAATGAAGTCAAAAAGTTCAAATACCCACACTCGAAGCTTGTCAAACCTTGTTGCTAATTAAAACATCAAAAGATAAATCACTTGAGCGCTCGTCTGTACAGTTTATAGGTGGTCGCGACTCAGTCTAACGTCGGCTACGACACGGGCGGGTTCCGTCACGAGCGCGCACGCTCCCACAAAAACAACGTGAAACTCCGACAAACAAAAAAAAAGAAAAACAAGTGCCAACCCTAGTGTCAATAACAAAAAAAAAATAAAACGTCAAAAATTCGCGGGTGTTTTTTTTATAATGTGAAAAAATGACAGTGATTTAAAAATTGCCAATTAAAAAATAATAAATGCTGCCTTAATGGCAACTAAAAAAAATAATGTAGTTCGTTTGCCGTCTGTGGTAAGATATTGCAAAATTCTAAGCGATGCACAGGACGCAATGAAAGTGTATATATAGTGGCATGTTTACAGGTTTTTACATGATTCCAACGTAGTTAGCTTCGCTTGTTTTGTTGTTTATATAATTCAGCACGACTACTTTTATTATCTGCAATGTTATTTGTTTAGTGGAACGAGAATTATTGTCTTGGTTTATTGAAAAAGTTATTCTTGCATCATCTAAATGTTTACTATCATTTTCTTGATTATATCTGCCATTTTTTTTTCTTTATATATTCCATAGCATAATTAACTACGGAAACCTCATATCTTTTTCTACTTCACACAACTTTTCAGAATCATTCACATGGATGTACCATTCCAAAATCCGAGCAAAGCTTGTACAAAATCATAAATGCTTTATCTTTCTACATTTCTTTTTCTTACACACATATACGTACTCAATATTTAATAAAAAAACGTGATTACCCAAAAAAGGTATATTAAAAGAAGTCTCTATCACTGACCAAGGCTACTGGCCGTTCAGCCTAATCGTATTAACCTATCCGGACGCGTAATCTAAATGGTATCGTGAACGGGTTCCTTACATAAGTCTATAGACAACATCGAAAAACATTCGGATTAAAATCGTCTACCACAATGACTGGGTTTTCAGGCTCTATATAACATAATAAGTAAGAACATAAAACCTAATTTATATGAATTATACATCAGACGAATTTGCAAAAAATTGTCATCAGTAAGTAGCACGGAGTCTGGAATTGTGCCCGGTATATGGCAATAGGCTCACCCCCTATTACATGAGACTTATAAAAGTGTGTGTTTCAATGTACTGTGGCATTAAGTACCGCAATGTGCACCTCTGCCTACTCCTTCGGGGATAAAAGGCGTAATGTTATGTCATATATCAGACAAATTTATCAGGGACTTATATGAGAGGTGGCCCTTAGTACGGTATAAATAGTAGTCCCTTTCTAATTTGCACTAATGTTATATTAATGTTAATGTTGTAAGTAGGATAGCAATAGTTTCACCTTTCTGTTATAAATGCAGGCACAGAACACATAAATTAAACTGTTTTTATAATAAATATCGTGAGACATACTAAATTAACTAAAATCGCGGATTACTCACGTGAATACACGTGAAGAACTTAATTAGTGAAAGAAATGCTGTAAGTTGTACACTTTTATTTAACTCGTCGAGTACCGGTTTTGTAGACACAATTATAGAACAATAGGTTGCAGTCACCGGTGACCGCTTGGTGTTTGACAGTTTAACCTATCTGAAAAAGTAACGTCCACATTAAACTGTCAAACACCAAGTGGTCACCGGTGACCGCCACCTATTGTTCTATAATTGTGCCTATAATGACGGTACTCGACGACTTAATACGGCTTCTAATGCGAATCCACTATGAATATTATTTACTAAGGTACCTTACCATGTAACATACACTCTCTACTACATTTTAATTAACTGCATTTAAATAAATAACCAAAGAACATTTGTATCTCTTTCGATCCTTATCTTATTATTTGAAAGCATTAAACATTGCTATAAAAATATCACTCTTGATTAATGCACGGAAGTCTTGCGGTAAACGTACCTTCACAGATAGACGGACAGGCAGATAAAAAAGAGATATTAAGAAACATTCATTTTTAATTAAGGTACATTATCTAATTTTTGAGAACGTAGCAAGATATCGGAAATTTTAAAGAAACGTTTTAGCGGTTCTATGTAAATTGTTCCAATCAAGTATCTTTAACTCGTGATTAGCTGAACCGATTTCGATGCGAATATCACAAAATATAGTAGTTAACCGACCCAGTAGCCGAGTAGATTTAGAAATATCATCTATGTTTTAACTAGCACGGAGTCTGGAATTGTGCCCAGTGTATGGCAATAGGCTCACCCCCTATTACATGGGACTCATAACATAAATAGTGAAAAGTGGGTGTTACATTGTACAGTGGCATAATGTACACCTCTGCCTACCCCTTCGAGGATAAAAGGCGTGATGTTATGTTAATGTTTTGACTTTCAATTATTTAAATATAAATAAAAGGTTTAAAATACTGTTGTTCAAATAATTCCAATTTGTATTTCCTTGTTCGATATCTTATGTAAATCCGACTCGTTGCTATCGGCTCTAGATTTCCAATTACCTTTTAAAAATGCTGGGTAAAAAAGTATAAATAATACAACTCAACTCCTACTATGACAGGACTGTCTTTGTAAAGGAACCTTTTTACATTTCTCTCTTACACTGTTTAAATGTTGTACATACCTCATTGATCGTATGATCACAATTGCAACCAATAAACACCGAATTTTATATAGCACTTGCTTCTGCACGCGACTTCGTACGCGCAATCTCGAAAAAAATTTAGGGGTGGACTACCCCTAATATTTAGGGGGATGAAAAATAGATGTTGGCCGATTCTCATAGATACCGGATAAGCACAAAAAAATTCATCAAAATCGGTCTAGCCGTTTCGAGGAGTATGGCAACAAAAACTATGACACGAGAATTTTATATCTATCTATATAAATAAAAATGAATTTCAGTTCGTTAGTCTCGCTAAATCTCGAGAACGGCTGAACTGATTTGGCTAATTTTGATTTTGATAGATTCGTGGAAGTCTAGGGAAGGTTTAAAGGGTGAGAAAAACCTTTTAGGCGGTACGAAGTTTGCCGGGTCAGCTAGTATTAGATATAACTCGGTACTTATTATATATTATATATATATAATATATTATTATTATATTTTGGTATTGTTCGTCCTACTCTACTCCATTGAGATCTACACTTCAAAAAGAGTGAAAAATCTGCAGACATAAAGATGATACATTTTTAATGACTCACATAAAATGAAATGATGCACTTTCTTAATGCGACTACCCCCCAAAACCTCTGCAACCCCTGTAAGCCACGATCTACAGTAGATACAACCATAAAAACACCGGAACATTGAAGTCTGGTGCGTCCCAGGGAGATAAATATTTAGATACCATTGACAAACCGTGAAGGAAAATAACGTGAGGAAACCCAGACTTTATATTTTTTTATTTATAAGTTTGAAATCGCTAACCCGCATTGAGCTTTTTTTTTTTAAGGGGGGAAAATCATCGAATGACTGCTCCCGCCTGGGTGAAGCGGAAGGAAGTGTCAGACTCTTACTGACTAAAAACCACCCCGTTCCTTCTCCTGCACGTCGAGCCGGAGCCCCGGTTACCCGTTAGGTTCTCCGCGACTCCGAATCGGCAACCCGCATTGAGCTAGCGTGGTGATTAATGCTTAAACCTTCTTTGTTCCGTTGACTAAAGAGTCGGTAGTGGTCGCTTATAGGCTGTTACTCATCATGATTTCATTCTCATCTCATCTCAGTCTTATCTTACAAGGACCCCAAGGCGAAATATGACGTCACATTACAAGAAAAAGCCCCATTCCTATTAGTCAAACATTTGAACCATGCATTATTCAATTGTGCTCCATAAGTACATTTTACCCACATTTACCGAAGCGACTCGAAGATATGTATACGCCTCTTGAATACTAATTGACTTCTTTAAGATACGAACAATTTAAGACTCTGTGTTGTTATGCATTGGGTTACTTATTAAGTGTAGCGATTCAGAGTAGAAATAGGTCTATTTATTGTGTGCCCTTAATCGTTGGTGGGTTCTTGCGACCGTAAAATTTGCGGCTATTAAAAAACTTAAAGACAATTTTTTTTATACACATATCTTTTTGACTTGCAATTTCGCATGTAATTTAAAGCACAAAGCCATAGTTATCATTTTCAAAATCATTCTAAAATCCGCATTTTTAACAGAAACACTGTTCTCTTATACGAGACATGAGACTTATAAAATTAATAACAAATAACTTTAAGTAGCGTATAATAACAACATATTATAACTATCACTTATTGTCAATGTCAATGTTAACTAGATGTAAACGTATCAACTTAGACAATGTAATCAAATAACTCAATAATTTTGCATGCCGTAAGGCAAAATGTATAGGGACTCTCTGTACGGGTTTAGTTTGCCCGTACACTACCGTTAGTTGGGTTCAATTGGTTGAGTTGATTGTTGAGTGCGGTGATGAATGAATACTCACTTGGTTATATAGAAAGTTTATTATCCACCAGTTACAGTTTAGTAATAGTTTTAATGATTCTCATAGATACGCTTGTGTTCCGTTGGCTGTTGTACAGACACTGAAGACAGTTTTAATAATTGTTACGAACTAAGTGAAACGACCGATATACTTACTTAGCTTGATGTCGCGACAAGAATGTACGTAAACCGTACACTCTCCATAAAACAACATAATTATTTGTTACCCACATTTTTGGCAAATAAATTATTTCTGATTTCTGATTTCAATAGCAACCAATGTACCAGACGACCACTAATTTACATAATTTAATTATTGAAAACCAATAATTGAAATATTTTATCTCGAAACCTTCATAGCAAAGCATTTCATGTGTTACTGAACATGTACGATAATGATGTAGGCAATTCTATATAAAAGGTTTCATTGTTAAATATAAATGGTCTATTATTGAAATATTTCTATAGATTCCTGACTGGTTCATTAGTCTTATATTTAGTACTAGCGACCCGCCCCGGCTTCGCACGGGCGCAATATGTATATACATACAAACCTTCCTTAAGAATCACTCTATCTAATAAAAAAAACCGCATCAAAATCCGTTGCGTAGTTTTAAAGATCTAAGCATACATACGGACATACAGCGAAAGCGACTTTGTTTTATACTATGTATTGATGAGACGTGACTAGTGAGGGACGGATCCTTTAAGAGCATATTTAATATATATCTAAAAAAGAAGAAAGAAAGAAACTTTATTTCACGCTAAAAAACAAGTGACATGTAGTCTTATGTGTATTCTATAAGTAGATACTGATAGATACCTGTTCATGTCTCAAGTCTGCGGTGAAATGGGACCAGTTCAGCATATG